AGGCAGCAGGGATCCGGAAGTCAACACCATGTCGAGTCTGCACAAGAGCCGGTAAGGGGCTCCGGGACCTGGTCAGGCCACTACTGGTCAGGCCGCCTCTTCTGTCCTGCAGAGGAGGCGTGCGGCTGCGGCCGGGCACCGGGACTCTCCCGGCAGAGGGGCTCCGGCTCCCACTTTCCAACCTCATTGCCTGTGGACCTGAGAGGGCACGGAGCGGAGGCACTTCTGTCCCCTCTCACCCCGGTGTCGCCCCTTCTCTCTTCGTCCTCAGAAAACCTGGACCCCTGGTTTTCTCCTTCCCCTGGTGTCTTTCTCAGGCAGGGCCTCAATGCCCCGCCTCCCGCCCCCTTCCTTGTCTCCCATGTTAACCCTCTACCTCAGTACCCTCCTCTCTCCAAATGCTCACTGGCCTCCGTGCCCGTTTCTTACTAGAAATGATAGAAAACCTGGATTCTCCAGTCTGTCCCCTTTCCCAGGCCAGATCCTGCAGCATTGGCTAAATTTTGCTTAGTCTTCAGTTTTCCTCTGGACTTGTTTTTTAAGCCTTCTGCTCTTGCCTGCAGGCTGCCCCAGAGGTGGTCTAATGGTTTTATTTTTGAGCCTGGAGAGCTGCGTAGGGGTTATACATTTCCGTTGTCTGCGGATCAAATTACTCCTGGTTCCTAGGGTTCATCGAGTTCAGATAGTGGAACTGTGGGCTGGGCCTGGCCAGCAGGAAGTGCCCAATAAATGCCAGCTCATCAAACATTAGAATTTGTCAGATTTCACAGTGCTCATTTGAGGGTCTCTAGACAAGGATATCTCTTTCAGGGTTTAGAGGAAGACGTGGTCTGTAGTTCTGTAGTTCCCCAAAGCTGCCTTTGATCAGGACTTTGACCGGGCTTTGCCATCTTTATGTCCTGAAGAGGAGGGAGGAACAGGTTGGAGATGTGGTGTAAGGGAGCTCTGGGCTTCAGAGCGGGTCACTAAACCTGTCACCTTGGGGTCTGGGTGTATTTCATTTGCCTCCCCCTCCCCCCTTCTAGGATTGCAGATTTCCAGGACGTTCTGAAGGAGCCCACGATCGCTTTGGAAAAGCTTCGGGAACTCAGCTTTAGTGGTAAGAAGCAACTCTCCATTTTCAAAGTTTTTCTAGAGCAGTGTCGTGGCTAGGATGGAGGTAAAAGTGCCCAAGGCCACCACACCTGCTCAGTTTTGGGGACCATCCTGCCCTTTGAGGCCTTTTCTAGATGCTGTGGAGCTGAACAACCAGTGCCTGCCCTGAGCTCGGAGGGGGTTCCCAGAGTTAGTGTGCCTGGAGGCCTTAGGGTGCTTAGTTGGCATACGAGTGATGCTTATTGCTTCCTCGGGGTAACTGGAGAGGACTGAAGGTGACAGGATGAGAGTGGGGAGACTTCTTGAGCTAAGATCGGATCTTCCCTCATTCCTCAGCAAGCTTCCTGTGGTGTACAATTTGGTTAGTTGCAGAATGGTTCCTGGTTCTCTCATTGGCTTGGCGTCAAAGCCTACTCAGGCGACAGTGAATTTTGATTAATGGTAGGATTCCAGCCTTGAGACACTTGACTTGAAGGAGCTGCACCTCAGCAGTATTTGGCTTTGCCCTCGCTGGCATGGCTAAGCTTGCAGCACCAGAGAGTTTTGCTTGTCTTTAAAAACACCCCAAGGCGTTCTGTATAGCTTCTCGGCTCTGCTCTGCCTTTGGAATTTGTCAGCAAGGAATTCTTGAGTAGCCCCTCTCCTCCCTATGCAGATTCTGTGGTGGGGCATTAGCCCCTGTTGACAGTACTTAGGAATACCATAGCCACAGCTGCTTTAGCACGGTTCTTAACGGAACTGCAAAAGTGTGTTTTTCTGTTCAGGAGCAGTGTTTAGGCCCTGAAGATCTTGAAGGGTCCCAGGACCTGTGCCAAGTTTAATTATCTGCCAGGTCTCAGGGGAGGCCATCTGTGGTAGTGGTTAAGAGTTTGCGCTGTAGAGTCTGACAGATGTGTGTTTGATTCCTTGAATTGTTCTTTATTTACAAGTGAGTTTCTTTATCTGTAAGATGAGGACAACGATTCTAATCTCCCCTCCTTACTGGGGTTATAACGAGGATTCAGTGAAATAATGTCCATAAAGCACAAAGCACTTACCATTCGTAGCTTAGTTTATATTCCACACATTCTTACAGAATGCCTGCTCTGTGCCACGCCCTGTGCTAGGCACTGGGAATATAAGACAGATATGGTTCTTGTCTTTCTGTGGTTTACTCCAGTAGTAGGGATTATAGATGTCAAATAAATACACAAATTATATTATACAACTGTAGTTGCAATGAGTGCTATCAAGGAGAAGTCATGGAGCCATTATGTATAATGAAGGACTTTGGTGGTTGATAAAGGCTGCTCTAAGGAAGAAATATCAAGGATGAGAAGGTGTTATCCTCGAAGGAACATTCCAGACAGAGGGAGCGCTTGCTGGGGACAGGGGTCACAGGATTAGCATCTAGTCCAGCAATCTTTTTGGAGGAAAATGATTCTCGAAGAAGTACTTCTTGCCCACTCCACTTCCTGCCAACTGGCTCTGAGGTGGAGGGCTGGGGGGTTCTGAGACTCTGGCCTGGGGCATGACCTTTGCCTGCTGTGTCCACAGGCATCCCCTGTGAGGGCGGACTGCGGTGCCTCTGCTGGAAGGTGGGTGTGCCTGGGGTGGGGTTTCTGCTCTGCTGCAAGTCCTGGGTTCCTGCATGGGCCGTCCCCACCTCCAGCCCCTTCTTTCTGATCTGCGCCTTTCCTTGCTTTGTTCCAGGAAACTTTTCTAGGATGTTCTGGGTTTTCCATTTCTTTTGGTGTCCCCTCCAGGATCCCTTTGGGAATGGAACACTTTGTAATGCCAGTGAAGTCCTTTGCTTACCTAAGGTCTAGACAGTGCAGTGGAAGCGATGCGTATTGGGACAAAAAAGCCCATGCTTCGCCCAAAGCTGTTAGCTGACATGGGAGTGGAAGCCCAGTATCCTAGTTTCCAGTCCCTTTGAGCACAAGGTTTTATTATCATCTGGAAGACTGTGTGAGGAAGAGAAGAGGAAAGGGCTGGTTTCAGATAAGGGTGGCGGGAGGCAGAGGGGAGGAAAGGGGAGGCTCCCCCCAGCCCATGCCTGCGTTCCTGGGCTTCAGCCATCTTGTCTTTTGGGCATCATCAGATGTTTTCCTTGAGGCCTGTCAGCCTCTGCCTACTGGCCAGGGTTGGGCTGGGTGAGTCACCAGAGCTTTGCCCCTCTCTCTCTGCAGATTCTCTTGAACTACCTCCCCTTGGAGAGAGCCTCATGGACCTCCATCCTTGCCAAGCAGAGGTGAGACCCAGAGAATGGGGATTGACGGGAGGGCCTTTGTATCAGACAGGACAGTGGTGCTGAGCCTGTCCTGTCTCCTGTTGGTGCTCGTCTGGTCTGGGGTTCCTGGGCAACACCTCCCTGCTCTTCTCTCCTGCAGGGAGCTATATTCTCAGTTCCTGAGGGAAATGATTATCCAGCCTGGCATTGCCAAGGCCAACATGGGTGTGTCCAGGGAGGATGTGACCTTTGAGGACCATGTGAGTAGGGGTCAGCAGAGGGAAGTGAGGCTACAGAGTGGGGAGGAGTGTGGCTTTGGGGTGGGCAAGGTCTTTCTGCCCCAGAGGATAGGTGTAGCTGCTTTCGGTCCCCTCTGGCCTTTCCAGTACCTCCTTCATTCATTTGGCTGAAGGCCATTGTCTCTCCCCTTGTCTTCCCAGGCCCTGGGCCTGGTCAGGAATATAAGTGATGGCTGGGACTCGGGGAATGCTGTGCAGCGCTGAGCCAGGCCCTCCTCATGCTTTGTCTCTTTCCTCATCCCTATTCCTCGAGGAAGGTTCTATGACTTAATTGTTGAAGAAAGTCAGAGCATGCTTGGAGTGAGGATAAACTGCTTTTCTGTGGCCCGGAGGAAGCCCCATTCCATCCTCCAGGACTGAGCTCTGCCCTGTGTGCTTCGCAGTGTAGAAAGTAGAGATGGATCAGACCCAGGCCCATCCTCCAAGGATTGCAATTGGTGACTCAAAGCATTGATGAATTAGATTTGAAGAGAGGTCATGATACAGCATTCATTCATCCATTCGTTCATTTGTCCATTCGTTCAACAAGCATTTAGTGAGCGCCTGTTACATGTAGCATTCTGGAGCCACAGCAGTGGACAGAGGAGTCCTGCCAAGCAGGGATGTACTCAGAGCAGATGGCAGGGCTTGGCTGTCAGCCGTGAAGTTCAAAAGGCAGAGGGAGCCCTGTGCTGCTGCTCCCGTAGCTTGCAGGCTGTCTCAGAGCCACAGCTGGTCCTCTGGTGGCAGTGTTGGTGTGAGGCCACTGCTCAGGCCTCCACACTGGAATCTGTCCCTGGAACCCTAGCCGGGCCTAGGACAGCAGTTTGTTTTCTCAACACACAGCCCCTCAACCCTAACCCTGACAGCCGATGGAACACATATTTCAGGGACAACGAGGTGCTGCTGCAGATCGACAAAGATGTCAGGTAAGTGGGGCGCTGGGCTGGGAGCCGGCCCATGAGACTTCTGGGGGCTCCCGGTTCTGTCCTTTTCCTTTCCAGCCCAGGCCCACGGTGGGTGGGGCATAGGGGAGCAGAGGAGCTATTGGTGTGTTGACTGCGTGGTTAGGTCCAGACCCGAGTGATGCTGGGCCTGAGAAGGGGGCTGCTGAGCGCAGTGAGTGTGTGGGGTGAGGGGCGGTGTTTGCCCATGCCCCGCTCTTGGTCCCTGCCTTAGTTTCATTTGTGCCCCAGGCATTTACAGATTCATCTGATCATCCCTTCGACAGATATTGAGCCCCTGCTACGTGGCAGTCTCAATGCCAAGCTCAGGGTTGAGCACTGTGTAGACACGGTCCCTTCCCAAAGGGGCCTGGCACCTGTGGGAGGAAGATGAGAAGACAGACATTCAACAGATTAGATCCGTGTAATTAGCATTTTGGTAAATGCTCTGAAGGAGGAGTTCAGGGTGCTTCAGGGCTCACAGGACACCTTGCCTGAGGAAGCAGTGTTTCAGCTGAGGTCTGAGGAGTCAGGCCTGGGAGAAGAGGGAGGGAGAGGCTGCGGCGGTGGGATCTGCCCATGCGGGGGCCCTGGGAGCCCGTGGAGCGAGGCTTGTTCAAAGAGCAGTGTGAAGGCCAGTGCGGTTGGAACCACACTAGAGGGAGATAGGGATTGAACCTTGGACTTGATCCCAAGGACACGGGGCAGTCATGCAAAGATTTTAAGCACAGGAGTGCCAGGGTCAGATATGTGGTGTTTGTTTTTTAATTGTGAGGTACAGTCTGTACATATGCATGCTTTTCCACTCGATAAAGAAATGTAGACATGCTGGCTGTGCCATCCTGTTGGGTTGGTGGGTGGCAGCAGGTGGACTCCCCCGCAGGTCAGGGAGGAGCTAGAAGGGAGGCCTCGTCTGCAATGGTGCCGAGTGGTTAGAGCTTGAGTTCAGGAGTCCATCTGCCTGGTTTCAGTTCTGCCTTCCCCAGTTGTTAACTGTGTTTCCAGCCACTCACTGCCCTGGGTGCGCCCCTCTGCCTGTACTCCTTGTGCCCAGGCGCATCTTCAGATGGCCTCAGGTGGGTCCCCAGCCCAGGGTGGCCCAGCCAGGACGCAGAAGGGGGCTCTTGCCTCCTTCGTTCTCAGGCTAGTGTTGGGGCAGCCTCGGTCCACGAGGGCATTTAATGGCTCTGTTTAAGTCCAGAACCATGTCTGGAACCCAGTTCTGGAGAAACAGGTTCTGTCTTACACTGGTAGTGACAGTAGCATGTTTAGTGTTTGCGGTGTGCTATGTAGACGTCTGAAAAATGTGCACGTCCTACAGTACATATATTTTCAAAACGTGATCATATTCTAAAGATTGTCTTCAGCTTGCTTTTCCTCTTACTCTGTCTTGGACATTTTCCCATGTCAGCCCTGTAATATTCTGTTGTACAATGTATAACAACCAAACCTCTTTTACCATTTTGTACCACACTACACTTCACACTCTGATACATATTAGATATTTTTGACATGGAAAGATGTTTGTGGTTTAAGAAAAGTGTCGGATCACAAGATCATAAGGACACTTAAAAGTATACACGTGCATGAATCCATCCTCATGTACAAATGAGAATGTGGGATATAGGTATGTATACATATATAATGACTATATTGCTTCTTAAAAACTATATTGTTTTTTAAGTAAGAAGTTATTAATTTAAAAAAATGGCTTTTGGGGTACCGGGGCACCAGGCAGGAGGGTGCCACCGGAATGCTTAACCATCTGCATCCTGAGTAATGTACTCTCTCCTGTTCCCTCTTGCCAGGAGGTTGTACCCAGACATATCCTTCTTCCAGAGGGCCACTGAGTACCCATGCCTCCTCATCCTGGACCCCCAGAATGAGTTTGAGACCCTTCGTAAGCGGGTGGAACAGACCACGCTGAAATCCCAGACAGTGGCCCGGAACCGGAGCGGGGTCACAAATGTGAGAGGCGACAGGGGATGCCCAGGGACTGCCCAGGGACTGCCCATGACAACCATTTCCTTCCTTTTTCCCTTGGACCACTGGCCACTGGGCTCACGGCCATCTGCCCTCTCAGTCACCCAAGGCAACCTTGGTCCTGCCAGGTTCCACCCCTGCCAGGGCTCTTTCTGAGAGTCGGAGCGAAAGGCTGGGTGTGGTGGGTGCCTGGGGAGGTCTCTGCTCTGCAGCAAAGGAGCTACACTGCTAGTCTCGTGGTGGAGATGGCTCTTTAAAAAGTAATTGCATGTGTGATGGGAGTGATGATGGGGTGCGGAGCTGACCTGGTCTGGATATCAGGGAAGACTTCCCTGAGGAAGTGACATTTAAACGGAGGCTCAGAGAACTAGGAAAGAACATTCCAGGTGGGGAGAAGGTCCTGTGTGGAAGTCCTCGGGCAGGAGAGAGTGCGGCGTGTGAAGGAATAGCGGAGTCCACTGAGGTTAGAGGCAGAGGGCAAGGCGAGAGAAGGGCGCTGGAGGGTGCTGGAAAGGGTGGTGGTGGCGAGGCCACCCGGGGCCTGTATCCTGAGGCTGGGAAGCCCTTGCAGCATTTGGAGCAGTGATGTGATTCAGGTCCGCTCTTGTAGAAGATCACTGGGGGCAGGGGTAGAGGTGGACAGGGTGCCTGGGAGGTGGCCACGCTGCCCAGGCAAGGGGAGGTTGGGGCTGGGGCTGGATGGAGTGGGATAGATCTGCGACTGAGGAAGTAGAATTGGTAGGACTTGTGCTGGCCAAGTCATGCCGAACCCAGACTTCTGTAAGTTCTTATAACTCTGAGAGTTGTTTAACTTAAACCTACTGTTTTGGTACTTGGAACTCTGACTTCTTCCTTGACACTCTTCACTACCCCCAACAACGGAAAAGTCCTTCTCTGTAACTTCTAACAAGCTAGAGAGAGATACTTACTGCAGAAGCCTTTTCCCCCCAAGTGGAATGACTGACCAGGGCTCTGTGTCTTTAGGGGAGAAGCCATTTTCTGCTACAGGGCGATGGGCAGTTATAGCTGATCGCAGCGTTCCATGTGCCTGCAGCAGCACTGGGTGTGCTGGGAGGTGCAGAATGCTTGACTAAATGACTGCAGGGCTTGCTGTGTGGGCGACCCTCTTACTTGGCTACTGATGTCCTGGCCGCAGGGCCAGGTGGGGACCTGGCTTCTGTCATTTATTTCACTAAAGTCATTGGGTGCTGAGAACTGAGCTCTTACCCATTTTAGGTTCGGACCTTGTCCTGCAGGCGGAGTACCTGACAGGAGCTTCATCTCTAGACCTCTGGATCTGTGATGGGGCAGTTCGAGTTAAAGCTGACCGTCTGATTGACCCTGGTCAAGAAATACCAGGCTCACCTTCCTGGGCCAGAGTAGCCTCTTCTGTAAACTGGGCATAATTCATCCTGCCTGGGTTTTGAATTGCCAAGAGGATGAAACGAGGTCATGGCTGTGTAGATTCTTGGAAAGCTGGAAAGCACTGGGAGTTTTATGAGGCCTGGACCTCAGGTTCTGGAGTCAGCCAGTCTGAGTTCAAATTCCAGTGCCACCACTTAATGTGAGACATGATGAGCGACCTAACTTTTCTGAGCCTTAGTGTCCTTATCTTGAAAACGACGTTGAGAGAATACTTAGGATTGCTCAGAGCATGAGGTGGACGCGTACTCGCAGAGCACTGTCTTGCATGTAGAAAGCTCTCAGTCAATGTCAGCGATGTGCATGCGTGTGGGGGTGTACACATGTTCACGTAATAGGAAAGGGACTTGAATGTCCCCAGGTCCCTGCACTTCCAGGATCGTTTCCTACACTGTCTCTGGGCTTGCTCATCACTGCCTCACACAGGTAACCCGAACCTTTGCAAAGCTCCCGAGGATCCTGATGGGCAGCTGGTGTTGGGGACCGCTGCTCTATTATGTGAATTTTTAGCGGGGATCATCATCATCTCTCTCTCCCAACTTTTTCTTATAAAAATTTTGAAACATTCAAAAAGTTGAAAGAAGAGTACGTTGCACACCTATATACTTTCCACCTAAATCCAACAGTTGTTAACATTTTGCCATATTCGTGTGTATTGCATATAGATAGAAAGCTGCAGATGTTCTGACCCTTCACCCCCAAATACTCCAGCAGGCATCTCCTGAGAATAAGGACATCCTCCTCCTCACCGCGAGTTCATCTGGGAAGGTTGACCATGACAGCATAACACCTAACATCTAGTCAGGTGTCCTCAGTTGTGCTAAGAGTTTTTTTGTTTTTTTACTTCCAAACCAGGACCCAGTCAAGGTTTACGAGTTGCACTGGGATGTTACGTTTCTCGATCTGGAGCAGGCCTCCGCTCTCCCCGAGCCCCCACATTTGACTTTTTGAAGAGTCTCAGCCAATTGTCTGTTTTTGACATATTCAAAGTTTTGTTTTCTCAATTGAAATATAACTTACATGCAGTAAAATGCACAAATCTTAGGTATACAACTAGGTGAACTTTTTCTTGCGTACGTATCATGTATATATCTATAACTGCCAACCAAGTCAAGACCTCGATCGTTTCTGTCATCCAGAAAGTTCCTTCATGTCCCTGCCCAGCCAAACCCCTCTCCTCAGAGGGAAGCACTGTTCTGGCTTTTAGCACCGTAGTTTAGGTTTTAGTTCAGCTGTCTGGTAGAATGTCCCCCACTCTGGACGTGTCTGCTCGTTTCCTTCTGGTGGTGAACACCTTCCTGTATGCTCTGTATTTCTGGTGGGCTGGAACTGTAGCTTAGGTTTAACAGTAGACTTTTCTGATGAGAACATGTCCGTGACGCCCCCGTCGGCTTAGCAGGCTCCTCCTTTTCTGCCCAGATGAGCTCCCCACACAAGAGCTCGGCGCCGGCACCCCTGAGTGAGTACGAGGTGCCGCCCAGCGGCTGTGAGGCCCACTGGGAGGTGGTGGAGCGGATCCTGTTCATCTACGCCAAGCTCAACCCTGGCATCGCGTACGTGCAGGGCATGAATGAGATCGTGGGGCCCCTCTACTACACCTTCGCCACCGACCCCGACAGCGAGTGGAAAGGTAAAAGGGCTCTTGGCTGCCTGCATTCCTTGTTGCTGACTCCAGAGCAAAATGGACTGAGGAAAGCCGGCCCGATGGGCTCCATCAGGCTGTGCCACTCATGTCCCTCTCTGGGCCTCCATTTTCCTTCCATCGGATAAGTAGGTGGTTCTGGATCCTCTGTGAGGTCCTCTCCAGCTCGGACTTTCTGGAATATTGGAAGTTTACTGACCTCTTGATATTTGCAACTGAATTTCTGGTAGTGGAGATGAGATGTATATATAGGAAACCGAATGACGGAATTTAAATAAACAGTGATTTGGAAAATGTCATCAGAAGAGCGTGTAGTCAGTTGCTGAGCGAATGTACAGTGTTGCCAGAAGCTGTGAGGACAAAGAAGCAATGGCCTTAGTCTGGGGTGGAGAGTGGTCAAGGACAGAAGGCACTGAGCCTGACCGTGGAGGGGTGGTGACTTGGTGAGGCTTAGAGGTGAGGGGAAGAGCTCAGGTCAGTGAGAGAATGGGTGGGCTTGGGAAGGCACCGGCTCTGTTGCCGCTGCGGTCACCCTGCTCATCTCGCCCAGAGCACGCCGAGGCAGACACCTTCTTCTGCTTCACCAACCTCATGGCCGAAATCCGGGACAACTTCATCAAGAGCCTGGATGACTCGCAGTGTGGCATCACCTACAAGATGGAAAAGGTGTACTCCACCTTGAAGGATAAGGACATGGAACTCTACCTGAAACTGGTGAGGACCCAGGATCACGTGGGCCAGGGCAGACAGATGGAAAGGGGCAGAGGACAGCAGACTTCCTGATCATGCCAGGCCCAGAGTGAGCTCTGGCTTGAGGCAGGACTGGGAGACCAGGCGGCAATGCTGGGAGTCTGGGCAGATTGGCAGTGAAAGGGATTGATATGGTGCTCGTTGTGTGCCAGGTACAGTGCAAAGCGTTTACCATGGGCCGAATTAGTTCAGCCTGTTCATCCTCTAAGAAAAGGATGAACTTCATTTTTAAAAGTTAAAAACAATTTTTAAAAATTATTATGGTAGTTCATGTTTATTTCAGAAAACAGCTCAGTAAAAAAAAAATAGAAACAGTTTTGGGAACAAGAAAATACATATAAATGTATCTTTTTAACGAATACAGAATTATGTCTTTGCTGTTTTGTAATATGCTTTTTTAGTTCACATGCACTGTGGCTCTGGCCAGAGGGCTCATCTCTCTTGGGAATAATTGCCTTGTGGGGTTGTCGTGTGGAGTGAATAAGTGAGATAATATATTTATCATGCTAAGCACAAGGCCAGGCTTACGGTATGTGCCCAGTTAATGGTCTTTCTGTCTATCTGTAATATGTACAGTGTTTTAAAAGACTCTGCTCTCATTTATAAATCTAGGGAGCCTATATAAAAATTTAGCTGCCCCTTTAACTGAGCAAGGCTTTCTAGGCAGCCCAGTGTCATCCCGCCGAGTGTGCCTGGCGTTCACACCCGGCCTGCTGCCTGCTGGGCTAGGTCCTGGGCCCTGCCGCTGGTGTACATTCACATCTCAAGGCTGTGTGGTGTCACATGGCAACCAGCCAGCACTGATTCTTGCACCTTTCCCACGCCTCTGTCTCCCCAGCAAGAGCAGAACATCAAGCCCCAGTTTTTCGCCTTCCGCTGGCTGATGCTGCTGCTGTCCCAGGAGTTCTTGCTGCCTGACGTCATCCGTATCTGGGACTCCCTCTTCGCTGATGACAACCGCTTTGACTTCCTGCTCCTCGTCTGCTGTGCCATGCTCACGTGAGTGTGGCCATGAGCAGTGGGCTGAGCCGGGGCTGCCCTCACTAGGCTATGGGGAGCCTCTGGGATCCCCGGGTGGGTGTCAAACCTCGCGTGCTGCGGGAGGTGAGGGAGGAGTGGGAAGGGGCCTGGCTGGGCCTGTATTCAGAGTGGCTCAGGGGCCCAGTGCTTTTCCTGCTTGTTTTCCTTAGACTGATCCGGGAGCAGTTGCTGGAAGGGGACTTCACCACAAACATGCGGCTCCTGCAGGTAACAGAGTTTGGAGGGCCAAGCTCAATCTTAGCCATAAGGCAGATGCTCACCAGGCACCCACCCCATGCCAGCCGCTGTGACAGGCTGGAGTCAGGAGCAGTAGAATATAGCAGAGCTTAAGAGTCTAGACCCCTGAAGCAGATCTGGTTTTGGGTCTGAGTTTGAATCCTGGCTTTGCCACTGACCTTGAGATGTGGTGCAGCCTTGAGTTAATGACTTGGCCTCTGAATTTAGCACTCTATAAATTAATCATACCCCAGACGCATAGCACCCCATGTGTGGCAACACTCGTCGGTAGCCATGCTCAGACCTGGGGCAGGAGAGTGGGCCTTAGTGGCTAAGAACATGGGCTCAAGGGTCGGACAGCATGGCATTCACTGGGTTCACATCCTTGTTCTGCTGTGTAAGTCATGTGACCTGAGCCAAGTGATAACGTCTCTAGACCTCAGTTCCTTCAGCAACACCTGGCCTGGGGGTGGTTTTCAGTAACTATTGACTAGATCTGTAAAATAGGTATAATCACAGTAATACCCTCATCAGGCTTTTGAGGTGTCCCGGTAACCTAATGTATGGACAGTGTGCAGCCCAGTGCCAGGCTGGGAGGAGCAGGGCAGGGTGGTCCTTAGGAAGGGCCATGAGACCCTTTGGGTGGTGCTGGGAGGTGGGTTACATTAGTGCTAAAGTATGTTGCGTTAGCTACGTGTGGGCATTGGGGCAGAATGGCAGTATCTGGTAGCCTGTGGTCCCTGCCCCTGGGGCCCAGGGTCCAGCGTAAGGACAGGTCCCAGTGGGAAGGGCACAGGTGTGGCAGAGGTGGCGAAGGGTGAACTGCCTGCAGAGGCGTATCGCTGGCCTTTCCCATGCCCAGGATTACCCCATCACAGATGTCTGCCAGATCCTGCAGAAAGCCAAGGAGCTGCAAGACTCAAAGTAGCCTGTCTGCAGGAACCCAGGTTTGGGAGAGACGCCACCGATCCCTGTGCCCCGGCCTCCAGGACATGCAGAAACCTGTGGGGTTCCAGGCCAAGGGGAAGCTGCAGGACTGGCCCCCTCCCCCCAGGCCGCTCCCACTGTGCCATGCTCCTTCCTGGCCACCAAGCTCTGGCTCCTTCTCTACTCTTCAGCCCTAGGACCCTCTGCCCAGCCTACCGAGCAAGGCTGGAACTCCTGAAGGCATTTTTCTGGGGCTGGGGTAGACTGGGGGCACTCGGAGCCAGCAGAGGTCCCTCTGTGCTCTGCCACTCCCTTCCCCGTTACTGCTCTGGTTGGCAGTTGAGTCAGAAACCACTTCTGGGGTCGGTGCTTAGGTTTCCCCATGGAGAAAGTGACACTGTGAGGGAGCTAAGGAGCCGCCAGGCCCAGGTCACACCCTCTGTCCCTCTCTCACTGAGTGTGTACGTGTGTCTGTAGTCACGTCGTTGTGGGTTGGCGTGTGTGTGTCTCTGTCCCCCAGGTGTTCGTCTCCTGTCTGTGGATGTGAGGGAGGGGAGAGTGTCCTCGAATCCCTCTAGGTCTCTACTTCTGTCTCCCACTCTTCTCCCTCCACCTCTGACAGGCTGCGTGTCTCTCCTGAACCTGCTCCTCCTCCCGTTGCTCTCCCTCTGCCCTTCTCTCTTGGGGTGCCTTACCCCCAGCCTCTTTTTCTCCTCCCCTCCACGCCTGTGAACCCCAGAGACAGAATGAAGAGTCTGGCTCAGCAAAGCCCCTGGAGGTCAACTTTGGCCTTTGCACCCTTTTCCCACCCCCTACCCACCGGCCCTAGGCTCCCAGATCCCTCACATTGGGGGGCCACAGTGCCTCCCTAGAGGGCCCTGAACCTGCCCCCCACCACAGAAATCTTGGAAACCAAAAACTGCTCAGAAATGATGGCCCATGAAGCTTTGAGCCTCTTACCCTCTTTTCTGCCAAGGGATTGAGGAGGGAGAAGAGAGAGAGCTGGGTCTTCCGGAGATGCCCCCAAAGGAGAAGGACATTGAGACGATTCATACCAGGAGCTGGGGTCCAAGTGCTTCAGAAGAGTAGTCATTCCCATGGCTTCCAGGGCCCAGCCCAGGCCAGAGGAGTCCCGCGAAAGGCAAATGGGACCAAAGGGAGCCTCCCTGGGCTAGGCGGAGCTGAGCTCAGAGGCCCTGGGTTCCGTCAGGACTGGGGGAATCCTGTTGCCCCCGAGTAGGCTGGAGGAGGTGCTGGCCCTTCCCTGGTCACCCGCTTGAGCTGGTCCCAGGGTTCAGGGCAGGTACACTTGGAGCAGGAGCAGCTGGCTGCTCCCATTGCTGGGCGGTGGGAGGACCGGGTTTATTCTGATCAAGTCCCCTCCCTCCTTTTGCAAGGAGGCAGGTGGTTTGGGTCTAGAAGGTTAGGTGATGTAGAAAGGGCCCTCATCTCAGAATGGCTGGCAGGAGCCATGTTGTCCCCAAAGCCTTCCTGGGTCTGGTCACCAGGACTTCTGCTTCCTGTGCTGGCCAGGCCGTGGGCCAGGAACAACTTCCCCCAGATGGCCCCTTTACCAGGCTGACCCTTGAATGCTTCTGGGACTTTCTGCACTTGCCTTTTTGCTGCCTCCTTTCCTAACACATTTTTGGGGAGATTTTTTACTATTTATTCAGACTCCTGGTTATTTATTGCAGATTGGCAAGTGCTTGGTTTAGGGATGAGGGTGGGGCTGGGAAGGTAGGAAGGAATTGGAGACATGGTCTTCCTGATTTTCCGAGGTCAGACACAGCATCCTCTGCCCTTGTTTCTGGGACCTCCTTGGTTCTCCAGCAGATCCTGGCTGGGAGGGCTCTGAGCTCCATACTGGAACTGAGTGTCAGAGAGACTCCAAGACCTCCTACACAGGGCACAAACAAACTGCTTCCCCCCAGCCTAGCCTACCTTCTTCCCAGAACTTGTCAGCTGCTCCTTCAGTTCCCATTTTGACCCCTTAACAGCCTGAGACTTGGGCCACAGCCTGGGACCCAGCAGACACTGCCCAGGACATTTCCCTCTTGCCTATCCCTTGCCTTCCCTTCTGGGGTCACACTACTTGAATCACTGCATCTAATTTGCCTCAGTGGCAGGCCTTGAGTCCAGTGCCCTCTCCTTGACTTTGGGATGAAGGCCAAGAGCACAAGGGGCCATGTCCAGGTTAGGCTGAGTTCCCCAGGATACTCCTCAAGGGAAGATCTACCCTTGGCGATTCCTTCTTTCCAGACTCTTAAGGGAGGTCCCCAGACAGCCGGAGTGCCCAAGCTTCGTGCTTGGGAAGCTGCTCCCAGGAACTTGGATACTTAAAGATGGAGCTGTATGAATTCAGCAGATGTCACTCCAGAGGATCAGAATGTTAGTCTGCTTATGTTTTGTTTTTGTTTTTTAAATCAGTTTTGTTCCTTGAATCAATGCTGTTGATGACAAGTCTTTAATAAATCATGTGTTCTTTGCAATGGGCATTGATTGGTATGTCATGGGCTAAAACCACTGAGACCTTAAGAGCAGGAAAAAAGTGAGCAGAGGTGGTGGTAGGAGGCTTTTAGAGTCATTGAAGAGAAAGGCCAGCAGATTCTTGTTGGAAGAGCCTGTTTAACTATTCATTAAATCATACAATTTGCAGCTGGGGGGAGGAGGGAGCATGGACTGGAGAAAAATCTATTACATCATAATTTCACAGCAAGTTTTTTTTTTTTTAGATTGAAAAAACTGAAAAATCAAAAGCCCATAAATAAAACAAAGCCTACCACCACCACCAATCCGGAGAAAATCACTGATAGTGTTAGTCTTTGCAGATGTAATTTTTGTTATATATTTTTCTTCTCGATATATAGTTTTTTGTATTGTCAATTCCCTCATGTTAGATGATAAGTTGCTGTATGACTTCCAAATTTTTATAGGCCACATACTATTCTATCTAATATGCTAAAGGGGTCGGAAACCAGTTTCTATTTCTGAATGTAAGTAATACTGTGGGGAAGTTTCTGTTTGGAATCTACATCCCAGAGTTATTTCTCCAGCTCGGGCCTCTTAAGTGGGTTGAAAGGTATGAACCTTTCTAAGGCTTTTCATACATATTGCCAAGTTGCTTTCTGGGATTGTACCAGTTTCTGTTCCAACCAGCAGTCGGAGAGGACCTGCCACCTGCATCCTCGTTCTCACTCTGGGTGTTAAGAAAATCTTGGTCGATCTTATAGAACTTTTAGCTTATCTTATGGTGTACTGGTTAGGATAGACTCCAGTGGACGCCTCCGGTGTCATATCCTTATTCTGCCAACTAGGAGCTCCTTCTCTGCTCTTTTGAGGGTTAAATGAAGTAGTGACCGAAGCTCTTCAAACTAATATTTGTTATTCCATTGGAGCTTGCACAGGCGCTCAAAGGAGGTGGGTCCCTCGGTGGAAACCCATGAGGAGGCGGGGCGGAGCCGGATAAACCAAAGCAGCGATGCCACGCCCCTCAAGCCGCATCTTAAAGGGCAAAGGAAGGGCGCCACGATGTCCAATCCGCAATGGCCCTGAGTAGAACTTCTTGGGTCCCATTTGGGACTTATTTGGAGTCCCAAGCCCCTTGGTGCCTTTATGAGTAGAAGGGAGGGGCATTGCTCCCGCCCACGCCCCCACCCGGCCCCATCCGCGATGGGCCCCGCAGGCCAGAGCGGCCCCTTTAAGAGCCTTGCGGGCGGGACGCAAGAGGTCGCGGCGTTACCCCGACGCCGCCGGCCGTCCTCCATCCTCGCAGCGGCGAAACTCCTTGGCCATGCGGGCGCTCCGGGTCGGTCTGACCCTGGCGCTGGGCACGGGCCTGGGCGCAGCTGCTGAAGGCTGGCGGCGGCAGCGGGCGGACGCGCGCCCGGCGCCGGGGCTGCTGGGCCGGCTGCCCGTGTTGCCTGTGGCGGCGGCAGCCGAACTGCCCGTCGTGCCTGCTGTACCCGGGGCTCCGGTAGGCGGTGGCCCCGGCGAGCTGGCCAAGTACGGGCTACCTGGGCTGGCGCAGCTCAAGAGCCGCGAGTCGTACGTGCTGTGCTACGACCCACGCACCCGCGGCGCGCTCTGGGTGGTGGAGCAGCTGCGGCCTGAGCGGCTCCGCGGCGACGGCGACCGCAGCTCGTGCGACTTCCGCGAGGACGACTCGGTGCATGCGTACCACCGCGCCACTAATGCCGACTACCGCGGCAGCGGCTTCGATCGCGGCCACTTGGCCGCCGCAGCCAACCACCGCTGGAGCCAGAAGGCCATGGACGACACCTTCTACTTGAGCAACGTCGCGCCCCAGGTAGCGCCTGCGCCCGGTCCCGACTGCAGAAGGCGAGGTCAGCCCCTCACCTCTGAGCCTCGGTTTGCCCCTCCGCAGAATGGGGAAGATGCTGAGTGCGCCTGCTGGGTCAGGGGCTTGGTGAGGGTCTTGCTAATCACCGCTTGTCCTAAGCCGGAGGGACGGAGCACTGGGCTCCCAGCACCCGTTCTGCAGTCTGACCTTAACTGAGGGCCCTTTAGCTTCGTGTCTTCATCTGTAAAATGGGGATATTACTGTTATTCACCTATCTTTTGCGGTAGCACTGAGGAACTGAAGACCCAGTGCATGTAAAGGTACTGAGCACACTTCCTGGCCCATGGCAAGCATTCAACAATTAGCTTTAATGAGAGAACTGAGGCTCAGAGAGGCAAAGTGACTGGCCCAGTGCCACACATCAGGAGACCCAGGCAGTTTGTCTGGGGCAACGGTCCTCAACCTGTTTGGCACCAGGGACCAGTGCTCCTATGAGAATCTAATGCCTGATGACCTGAGGTGGAGCTGAGGCGGTGATGCTAGCGCTGGCAAGCGGCTGCAAATACAGATGAAGCTTTGCCCGCCCTCCACTCACCTCCTACTGTGCAGCCCAGTTCCTAACAGGCCACGAACCAGTACCAGTTCCTTGGCCCGGAGGTTGGGGACCTCTCGTCTCTAGAGGATGCTTCAGCCATTGTCCTACCCTGCCTGCCTTCCAGGAGTAAAAGGAGAGATACTTGCTGGCAGTTGGCTGTTAGTAGCAGTCACTGTGCACCTTGAGCAAGCCCCCTCCCTCTAGCTCTGTTCCCACCAAAAGTGACACCCACTGGATGAAGACTGATGTGGGGCCCTGGGTGAACCAGGTGGGGTCTGAGCCTCTGACCTGACTTCTGCTCTCCTAGCGGTAGTCCCCTACCCATGGGACTAGACACTGTACAGAGGACTGGAAAGCCCAAGTGATGGAGTCGGGAGCAGATTCATGACAGCCTCAGCTGGGCTACGTATGTGGTTCAGAGGGGGAAAAGGACAGGAGAGATGCTTGAGAGAGCTGGCCTTCCTGAGAGCCCCTGGGGACCAGGGCAGGGGCAGGCCTGTTCCCCCCTCTGAAGGGGAAGATGTGTGGCTTTCCTTAGTGTGGCTCTTTGGAACTGAGAAACGGCTATGAGACCTGGGATGCTAGTCCTTCCATTCTGTATGGGTCCGGGCTCCATCCTCTCGTCCAGGTGGCCTAAAGGAGTGATTTTCATTCCTTGAACCAGTTTTGTCTGCATGCTTGTCACCCCCCCATTCCATGCTGGAATTTCCAGGCTTGGTGCCAGTCACAGTCTGAGTCCCCTCTCTCCTACCAGGTGCCCCACCTCAACCAGAATGCTTGGAACAACCTGGAGAAGTACAGCCGGAGCTTGACCCGCACCTACCAAAACGTCTATGTCTGCACAGGGCCACTCTTCCTGCCCAGGTGAGGCTAGAACTGGGGGTTCTGGGCAAGCCAGGGCCTCCCACTCACCCCATCCAGGCTTGTCCCAGGCATTGGGTTGACACTGCCAGGTCATCTAGTCTCTTGACAAGTCTGTCCATTCCTTGCCTCAGGCCCCTGAATTCTACTTTCATAACCAGAGACCTTTGGGGTGCTCACCTAGACCATGTCTTCTCTGCGCATGGGCACCAGGCCCTGCATCTGCCTTTGCTTTCTCCTAGATCACCTCTCACCACACCCACCCACCCGTGTCCTGCCCAGAAACCCTTCTACCAGGCTATTGCCTTCGGTCTCCTCTGCTTGGAGCAACCCTTCCCCACCCTTCTCCCAGAGCCTGGGTTTGAACTCTATCTTCCTGACCCTGAACCTTCACTCTTGTCCCTCTGTAGCCCTGCCTCCCACGTAGAAGGGACGGAGCTACCTCTGGGCATGCTCAGTGATTTTTTTGGCCCGCTTAAGGTTGGGATGAGTGAAGCTATAGGTTGTGGTGAAGCAGCTGGCTCTGTAATCCACAGGCTGGGATGGGATCCAGACCCTATTACCTAGGGTCTGGGTGCCATGGGCAAATGACCTCAACATCCTCTCCCATGAAATGGGAATAATAGCTGGTAGCCACCTTGCGGTTGTTTAGGGGACAGCATGGGTTCGCACAGGCACTGATAAACTAAGGAGCCAGCGCCTCCTGCAGCTTGCTAAAGTGGAGCAGACTCTGCTGAGGGTTAGCCCGGCGTCAGTCACCCATCAGTGCTCTGGGCACCTGCTATGCACCGGGTCCTGTGCTGGGGCTTGGAATCCAGTTGTCACAGCTTGGCCCATCTGGTACTCCCCTTCCACAGGGAGAGACAGGCAGACATCCAGTGTCTGCATGGATAAATGTGAATGTTTAGAAGGGCAGATTCCGTCAGCAGCATTTATTGCCACCATCCACTCTGCCTGAACCAGGGGTGGGCATGAGACAACAGGGTACGAGTGACTCTCTACCCTGCAGGGAGCTCCCAGACTGCTGGGGGAGCCAAGGAGGGCACAGGAGCCCCACACTGAGGGGTAGTCTAGTCCTGCAGGCCGGCACAAGTTGGAGGTCAGGTTAGGGAATGCTTCCTGGAGGTGGTGGCCTGGGGTCCCACAAGACTCCCTGGGAGCCCTGAAAGGCCACGGGTACCTGGGTTTGCCTGCAGGACGGAGGCTGACGGGAAGTCCTACGTGAAGTACCAGGTAATCGGCAAGAATCACGTGGCAGTGCCCACCCACTTCTTCAAGGTGCTGATCCTGGAGGCAGCAGGTGGACAAATCGAACTCCGCTCCTATGTGATGCCCAACGCGCCCGTGGACGAGGCAATCCCGCTGGAGCGTTTCCTGGTGCCCATCGAGAGCATCGAGCGGGCCTCAGGGCTGCTCTTCGTGCCAAATATACTGGCGCGGGCTGGCAGCTTCAAGGCCATCTCCGCGGGCAGCAAGTGAGGGCGGCTGCCTGGCCAGACTGTGAGGGTGCAGGGGTTGGGTCGCATTAAAGGTGGTTATTTTTAGAAACAAGTCTTGGCTGTATTTTTCCCAGGTGACCCTCAGGAACCTCTGGCTTCACTGCCTCTTCACTGTCTTGTGCCTGACAGAACCTTCAGCTGGGCTGGGCACCTGCCTGGGTGAGGCCAGGCTGCAGGGCAGCCAGGGAGATGAGGATGGCTTCCTGGAAGAGAAGTGCAGCAATGGGCTGGGGCCTGCTGCCCTCAACAGGGCCCTGAGGTGAAGGACAGGCCCAGCGTCACTCTGCTGATCTGCCACTGGCCGGATGCATGCCCTGCGAAGGGCTTCACCTCCTTGTTCCTCAGTCTCTCCCTATGTAAAATGGGAATGAGTGGGGGATGATGGGAGCATACCTGTCTCCTAGGGTCAGGGGAGGTGACAGGAGGTTCTCAGCCCTTGGTAAAGGTATTGCAAGGGTGGGAGCTGGGGTTATTGTTGGGAGGGTACAGCTGGCTGTCGTACAGCACCTGGCCCCAAAAGGGCCGTTGGGGACAGGTAGACTGGAGCAGTCCACCTGTTTAGTCACCGCCTTTGAGACTGAAGGAAACAGGGCCACAGGTTCCGTGGATGCCCAGGACGAAGGCTCTGAGCCAGCCGCATCCTGGCACCCACGGGGAGGGCTGCCCTGCCCGCCATGGTCACACACACGAGCGTACAGTGAAGGAAGCGAAAGCCCAGAGTAGGGGTGGGCGGGGTCTCCTGGGTCATCCAGCCGGGGAGCAGCTGGACAGGCACCAGCACCCAGAAGTCTTGGCTCCCAGCTCACTCATATCCTGCCCCGGCTGTAAGTCTCAGGTGGTGAGGTCAAGGGGGTGAGGAGACCATCCCCAGAGAAGGCTGGCTTAGGGCAGCCTTGGGCAAGGGAGGTGACAGGGAGAGAGCTGTAGTCCCCCATGGAGAGACCCTGAGGCCCTGGCTGGTGGGTGAACCTCTGGAAGGACGTGGGGCTGGAGGTGGGGGAAGCAGGCAGGCTCACCTCTGTGCGGATGGTGCGGCTGCCCTGGTTGGGGCAGGTATTGACATACAGATCGAAAAGGACACTGGGTTCAGCCACTTCTAGGTTGGGGTCAGCATCCACTCCAGCTTCCAGCCCTTGGAGGCCCCCGAACACCACGAGAGCATGCCTGGCACCCACAGGGAGCGGGGTGGGGAGGGTGGAGGCGCGGTCACTGACTGCTCATCAAGACCACACTGAAAGCAGCCCACATGCGGTAGGAGTCGTCTGTACGGCTTTGCCCCCACCAGACTGGTCCCCTGCTCCACTCCACTCTCCATACCCCGGCCCCTGCCCTAGGCTGTACCCACCGGAAGCTGGGAAGCTGGGCAGAGGCTACATCTGAGCCTCGCTCTGACGTCCCGATGGTCAGGTCATACCCATCCTGGAAGGGGGTCTCAGCAAACACAGCACCTGAGGGCGGGGCCAGCTCAGTAGGTGTCCTTTCCACAAGCCACAGTGGCTTGGCTCTGCGAGTGTATATTGGGTGGGGTGTGGTGTGCAGAAGGGGACTCCAGTAAGGGAGCCACACCTGGGCCCTCCACTGTCCCTGAGAAGTCAGGGACTGACCAGGGAGAGACAAAGCCTGTGCTGGACTGGGACAACAAAGCAGAGGGTGGGGACGAAGGAGCTCCGAGAACACATACTGTACCTTTGACTTATTTAGCCCTTTCGCCCCCATTCCCACCCCTGTGGCGAGCATTATTCACCAATCATGATATTCTTTTTCTCAGAAGTCATTAACAGCGTTCCAGGCAGCAAACTCAGACCCACAGAAGGAAAAGCAGCTGCCCAGGGACACATAGCAAGTTGGTAGGACAAAAACTCTGGTCTGACTTTTGGGTCAAGCAAGGCTCTCTGTTTTCATAAAAGGAAGCTGCGTCCTTACTGAGGCAGGAGGCCAGCCGGACCGTGTAGCCCCAGTAGAGACCAGCTTTGGTGCGTGGGTCCTGTGACGACACGACTTTCCCACGGTAGGTCTTGCTTTCTGGAGGGGAAGCAGAGAGGCTGTGAAGACAGGGCGAAGGGACAGGGAGGTGGAAGGAGGAGGCTCTGGGCCCTCAGGCTGGCCAGGTGGGGGAAACTTTCAGATACCTGGGAGCTGCTTCTGGTTCAGTTGCACAGTCACCCGAAGTCCAGGTTCCAAGTTCTTGTCAATCTTTACCTCCTAGGGAGAAGCCAGAAATGGGTGCTGTTCCCTCACAGACCAGCAGGGGTCATTACTCTCCCAGACACGGGGGATCAACAGGGTTGGCAAGAGACCTAAGGGGTCCGGGTCAACTTTTAGCCCCTTATCTGGGCCAGACCTACTTACAAGACACCATTCTTGCCAAACAACTACTATAAGACACGGGTCAAAAGTGAAAGCTGCAGGCCTGGAACTGAGTAGGAAGTAAATATTTCATGAGTAGATGAAATCCCAGTTTCCTACATTTTGGTGGCTATACCTCTTACTAGCTATAGGAGTTTGAGTGGGTCACTTAACCTCTCTGACCCTGTTTCCTCATCTAACAGAAAACTTTCCATAAACAACAGCTATTGTTATACAGGGCCTGGCATGAAATAAATGCTTAACACATGGGAATGTGAATAACCATAGATGTTTGTGTCTTGTGCCAATTTTGAATTCAGAAATAGGGCATTTTCTTTCCCTTTCGAGGGTGTCTCGTGCTTTTCATCTGTGTCTGGATCATCCTGATCTGCTTTTAGTCAGTGACTTCTGGTCCGTTCTTTTCAGGGAAGGGAAACCCACACATTTACATGTCTCTGCCTCTGACTCTAGGAGACTTGAGAGTAAACAGTTGGCAAATGAACATGCCAATCCCCAACGTGGCTCTGCATCGCGGGAACAGCCCCAGAATGATTTGAACTTGTTTTTGCAAGGTTTTGTTTTGTTTTTAGCATGAGGACCATCTTCTGTTGATTTGCTTTTTTAAAACAAAAACAAAAACAAAAACAAAACCAGTAAATTTGCTTCTGGGTTTATCTACTGAGCTCCGTTTTAGGTACTTACTTCTCTGGCCCAAATCAGCATCAGTGGGGGACTGGCAGGCAGAGATGCCTGGGTCCCAGGCTCCCTACTCACATACCCAACCTGCCCTCCACAGCTAAGGTGTGTCTGGAAGTATATCTTGACTCACTCTTTAATTCCTACCTTCTTCATGCCACAGTTGACAAAGGAACCATGGCCTGGCCGGGTGGGCCGGTCCACCACGATGCCCTCTCGGAACTCGGATTCCTCATCCTGACGCATGTGGTGAGGGCTGTCCAGGGGGTTCAGGAGCCCTGTGGGTGAGGAGGGGCCACGAGGAGTCTGGGAGGTGCAAAAGCACATGGGGATGTGGCAGAGAACCCTGGTCCCACATCCAGCTCTGCCACAGATTTGCTGTTTGCCACCAGGCACAGGCCTTGCCATGCTTGGGACTGTTTTCCTAACTGTACAGTGGTTTCTTAGGGTCTGGGGACGATCTATGGGAAATAGAGGTCCAGCCCCTCCCAGTCTTACCTGCAAACTGTAGATCCTGGTGCTTGGGGAAGAACGCCTTTCTCAGATACCTAGTTAAGAACACAATTCTCAGAAATTCCCAGGGAAAACACCTGCTTGGCCTGCCCCTCAGCCTCCCCTCCCTCATGCTCAGGGAAGTCTGTCCTTCACCCGCTTACTGTGGACACTCCAGGTACTGCAGGATCCGGGCCAGCTGCACACACGCCTGCCCCTTCTTGCCAATTCCCTTGAATTCCCCTTCCACAGTCCTGGAGAGAGAAAGATAGGGCTCAAGAGCCTACTGTGTTCCCTTCGAGAGCTGGTGCACCCAGACTGACCTCTGCAGTGCCCTGCTTTGCAACTCTACCCATCGGGGTTACAATGGGGGCATTCCAGGCAGGGTTCTCAGCCCCGGCAAGCCGGAGCCAATCCTGGCAGCCCCTCCCATCTCCCTGAGCCCCGGTATCCCGCCTATGGGATGGCCCCTCACTTGGCATCTTGGCCCTCTTCATCGAACACCACAATCTCATCCACACAGAAGATGGTGCAGGCTCTGGCGATCTGGCCAGCCAGATAGGTGCGAAGCTCGGGCGACTGAGCGTTGTCGAGAATGGAGCCTGGCAGGGCCACGCTCAGCGTGTAAGGCCGCCCTGGGGAGGGGAGGGGTGTTCACAGTCAGTCTGAGAGGCCAGGCCCATGCGCTCCTCCTCCTTCCTCAGGGCCCAGAGTTAGAGAATTTTTCTACTGGGAGGAATTTTGAGATTAGCAAAATAGATCAAACTCCCCTCTCTGGGCCTCAATCTCCCCAGGAAGAAAATGGACTCAGTGGTCTCCAAGGCTCCTGCGAGGAAGGCAGATCACCAGGTAAGGCTGGGAGTGGTTGGAGGCATTGGCCTCGGTCCATATCCTGGCTCTGCCCCTTATTGCCTCAGTTCTCTGCTTGTTAAATGGGGATAATGATGAGAGCTATTATCTATAATTAGTGCCTTTTATGGGTGCGCATTTACCCAATAAGCCTAGGAAGCAGGTACTACCAAGATCCCTATTAAGAGGTGGGGAACTTGTGCACCAAAGAGGTCAAATACATGGCCCAAGGTCACACAAAAGGCAGGAGAGCTGAGATATAGTTCAGGCTGTCTGGCTCCAGAGGGACCACTGTACTTCCTCCCAGAGTTGTCCAAAGGGAGCCATGTGAGACGACACCCATAAGGGCTCCCCCAGTATCTGAGACAACTGACATGTTCAGTTGCTGTTCCCACTGTCACCATCATCACTGGTAACCACTGGGTGTACAGTGTATGATAGGGCCCCCTGACTTTGCAGAACTTCGGTTCTGGCTGAGAAGAGATACAATTTGTTAGAGTGGATCCGGATGTACTGATGTGAAAGGACATTCAGGACACAATGTGGGGCAAGGAAAACCAGGCCCGGAGGCACATGGATCAAGTGCTTCCACTTTCTTAAGATTGTATCTCTACATCTCTCTACATGTGTTTAAGTGGGTATAACAACATCTGGAGAAACTTTCACTGCAATGCTTGCTGGGATTTTTCCTTTCTTCTATATGCTCACCCTGGTCCTCCCTCTGTGCAGCTGCCTCCTCCTCCTCCTGGCGCTTTGTCTGTTCTTCTTGCATCCGCTGCCGCTCCAGCTTTTTCATCAGCTTGAGATCCTTCCACTTCTTCTTCTCCTCTTTCTCTGGATAAGAGGACATCTCAATTGATGGAGGGGAGAGGGACTTGGTGCCCTCTCAGCAGGGTCAGGGTTCCCACTCTGTAGGGACAGCCTGGGTGCTTGAGTGCTGCTGGGTGAACAGCCAGAGGAGCCTCCAGGGCTTCTAACCCCTTCTTCCCATCTTGGGTGCTATGGGACCCAGAGGGGACAAACCTGGTGGCTTTCCCCAAGGTTCAGTTGTGCACTGCTGGAGTGACCTGGGGAAGGGTGAACACACACACTGCTTCCCACACCCTGCCCCTTACTTACTCTGTTGCTTCCATTTTCGCCACTCAACCCTTTGGCCATGTTCACCCTGGAGGATTGGGAAGAGGTATAGGAGTGAGGCTGAATGGTCACACCTAGCGGGGGCGGGGGGCGTCCCACTTGCTACTGGGAACTCCCATACACTGCTGCCTCAGAGAGAGCGTCAGGATGATAGGGACCTGCTGCGCCCCTGTGCCTGAGACCAGGCCTGGCATATAGTAAGCACTCAATAAATTATTTACGAGTTTCTACCGGAGAGAAGAGGAAAATGAAGCTCAGGGGAACAGGACCTGCCCACTGCCACCCTGGGAATCAGAAGAGATACGCCACGAAAGGGCTCAGGATTGCGCATAGGATCCCACCTCCTGAATCCGGCCCTGGCCAAAGTAGCCGCAAGGGGTTCCCGCAATGGGTTACCTGACACTGTCCCGGCTGTGGCTCAGACCCCGGCCCCCACCTCCAGTTCTCGTCCGGGCAGGGGCGCACGCGGCCACGATTACGCGACACCTCGGGGCTTCCGCCTTCGGATCAGCGAGAAGCAGGGAGCGGGAGGCGCAGCCCGTCCCCGCCACAGGGCCCCACGCGGCTCGTTTTCACGCCCACACCCCTCTGTCCAGTCTCGGGGTCCCACTTTCTTCCACCTGCCTGTCACCTACCGGGCCGCAGGGTCGCTTCCTCGCTTGCTCCGCCATGTTCGCCGCACGACGTCGACCACGCTCAGCCAATGAGACTCACCTCTTCCGGCCACACCTCCCCCGATTCGTCCAATCGGAGGCAAAAGCTCGCGGGGGCGTGGCCTAGGCTCCCAGAGACCACGTGGGCATCCGTGGTCTGGGCTGGGCTCCGCGGCTCGGGAGCGCTATCGCGGGGTTTGGTGGTGCTGATTGCCTGCCCGCCTGGGTGTCCAAATGGGCCGCATATCGGGTCTTTCCTGGACCGAAGAGCCGCCCTCCATCTCCGGACAAGCGCGACAAACCTCAATTTAGTTTTATACATGGGGACCTTGAGGCCCAGAGCTTGAGTGTGATTCAGAACTGGAAAATGACCTTAGGATAATTTAATTCTTTTATAGATTTGTTCTTTGCTCTCCCTTTTAATTAACAGACTTTATTTTCTTGAGCAGATTTAGGCTTACTGAAAATTGAGCAGATAGTATAGAGAGTTCCCATCAACCTTTCTCCCTCACTCAGTTACCACTACTATTAACATCTTGCCTTGGTGTGTATATTTCTTATAGTTGATGAGCCAGTATTGATGCATTATTATTAACTACAGTTCATAGTTTACATTACGGTTCACTCTGTTCCCTGCATTGTATAGGTTTTGACAAATGCTTTATGTCATGTATCTACCATTACAGTATTAAAGAAATAATTTCACAGCCCTAAAAATCTCTGTGTTCCATTTACCCACTTCCAAGACCCTGGAAACCACTGATCTTTTTCACTGTCTCCATAGTTTCTGCCTTTTCCAGAATGTCGTATAGTTAGAATCAGTATGTAGCCTTTTCAGACTCTCTTCTTTCATTAAACAATATACATTTAAAGTTCCTCCATATCTTCACGTGGCTTAATAGCTCATTTCTTTTTATTGCTAAATACTATTCCATTGTATGGATATACCAGTTTGTTTCTCCATTCAACTTTTGAAGGACATTTGGGGCAATTATGAATAAAGCTGCTATAAACATTTATGTGCAAGTTTTTGTGTGACGTGAATTTTCAACTCATATGGGTAAATTGCTAGGAGCCTGACTGCTGGACCCTACAGTAAGACTATGTTTAACTTTGTAAGAAACTTTCAAACTGTCTTCCAAAATGGCTGTACCATTTTGCATCCCTGCCAGCAATGAATGAGCTAAGTTTTCTTTTTAAATAAATTAATAAATTTATTAAAAATAATAAATTTTATTAAAATTTTATAAAAATTTATTAAAAATAATAAATTTGAGTCAATATTTATTCAATCAAAAAATATTTATTGAGCAGGGTCTATTTTGAGGCAGGAATTCCCTGTGCCAGGGACACAATGATAAGCAGAAGAAGACGCTGATCTGGAGCTTATAACCTAGCAGAGGGGAGATTAATTTCTAAGTCAATTTATACATTAACATTACAGGAGGTGTGTTATTTCACCATTAGCCCCCTCCACCATGTGAATGAGAAGACAAAGTCATGTATACATCTAAGGGAAGATCTACCATCTCAGGCTGGCTGAGGTTACTCAGTCTAAGATCTGGAACCTCTGTAGAGTCACAGATTTGAGTTATGGGCAGAGTCTGGTTTATTCATGAGACATGGAACCTCAGTCAGGGTGGTTCTACCAAAGAAGTCTATGGATTTACCTCACGGAGGACTTTTTTTTTTTTTTAACCATCAGGTGATGTATAATACAGCAAAGGGGCTCCAAGCCCGAGTCTCTGAGCTGGTATTTTGTTTTACAGTTTTGACTTTGGAACAGTGGTACTAGCACCAAGTCAAGGTTTGGAAGGGGAGAGAGGGAGGTGCCCTATGTCACAGCACCAAGCACGTTGCAACGGCAATTCTCTAACATCAAGTGGGTGTCCTACACTTCAGGCAATAACTACATGGAGTTGGCACAGACCCCATAGGTTAAGGGCTCAGTCACACAAGACTGCCCCTCACTTCAAATGCCAGCAGCAAGTGGGGTCCCCAGGCTTCCCCCTGGCTGACTATTCGGGCATTTCCACAATCCCCTTCAGGTTTAATAATTTGCTGAAATGATTCACAGCACTCAGGAAAGTGCTATCCTGATAGTTTTATCATAAAGGATTTAACTCAGGAATAGCCAAATGGAAGAGATACATAGAATAAGGTCTTGGGGTGGGGGTGGGGGTGGGGGTGCAGGGCTTCTGTGCTATCTCTGGATGTGCCACTCTCCCAAATATCAATGTGTTCACCAGCCCAGTTACAGATGCATGATTGATTGTAACTAAACTCAATGCCCAGTCCCTTCCCCCTCCCTGGGGACCTGGGTTTGGGGCTGAAAGTTCTGACTTCTAATCACATGGTCGAAGGGGCTCGTTATGAATAATTAAAGACACTCCTACTGCCCTGGAAATTCCAAGGGTTTAACGAAGTCTGTGCCAGGAAACAGTGACAAAGACCAAATATATTTTATTATACCATATGTTCCTATTAGGTCCCCAATTAAGTATATGATATAAACAAAACCCATGGGCTTGCTATGCAAATACAAGTCCCCAGCACCACCCTCCAAATGAATTTAGGAGCTGCCATTGCTTTCCAGTGGGACACCCCCCCATCAGATCCCACTCTGTCTTTGCCAGCTTGATGGCCTTGGGCAATGACGTCACCTCCAAAGTGGTTCCCTCATTTGTAAAATGGAGAGTAACTCCGTCTCAGGTAGTTGTTTAATATGATGATGGGCACCCGAATGCCTGGCACACAGGGGTGCACAATAACCATCAGCTACTTCCTTCCCCTTCTAATTGTGTAACCCTTGGCTTTCCTAGCCTGCACTCTGACCCTTGTGGGATGAGACTGTATCTTCCCTGTCAGACACTCAGAGGCCCCCATCTCCTGCGCGCGCGCGCGCACACACACACACACACACACACACACACACATCCAGCACCAGTAACACATACCATCCGAACTCTGGCTTCTAGGCCTGGTTTTACCATTAACTTACTATGTGACTTTGGACAAGTCCCAAGTCCCTGATCTTCTCTGGGCCTTGGTTTTACTTCACAGAATAATATGCACAAAGAGGGCCTAGCATCTGAGGTTCACGGAGATGCCTTCTATTCTGACCAAGTTTCCATCAGCGATCAGCACCAGAGTGAGAAGCAGAGTGAAGCTGATAAGTGTTCAAATGACTTAAAATTTATTGTGGGCAAAAAGTACTGACTTGAGGACTCAAACCTTAGGGCAACTTTCCTAGGTCAAGTTTAGAGAAGGAAAGGGAGGGATGCCTGAGCCTTGGCTGGGGTCAGGACTGGGACTCGAGGCCAGTACACTGTCAGACTCTGCCTGCTGAGTCCCAGCCAAGTCTGGGGAGCCCAGAGGAGCCCAGGTCAGGCCTCCCTCATCTCCAAAAAAGTTCTGGACAAAGAGAGAACTGTGCAGGGATCACCCAGGTGAGGCAAGGCCGAGGGGACGACATCAGGCCTCAAGTTCATCCTTCCACTCCTGCAGCTTCTTGTCCATGGCCTGGAGTGTGGATTCATCCTGCACCAACACAGATTGGTCCTACCCTTCTCCCCACACCCACCAGCTGGCCTTCTTGGGGAGGTCTTCCCTCCCCAGCCCTGCCTCTTACCTTTGCAAAACAAAAGCGGATATAGTGGTCAAAGTGCTTCTGATGTGGCACGCTACAGAAGAAGGAGACCGGGATGGCCACCAAGCCCTGGAGGAGAGGAAGCCCACGTCTCAATAGGGTCCCAGGCCTAGACTTCGGGGGATAGAGGGTCCACGATGGGGTGGGGGAAGGAGAGTCAGCTTTAATGTGGCACCTCCCTGTGCTATGTCAAGGTCAGAGGAAAAGAAGCCCAAAACATCATCCCACGTCCCTCCTGTGTATGGAGGGGAGACGGAAGCTGACAGAGGGGTCACACAGAGTCAGGGAAGACATAAGCCTTAGAATCACAGCCCGGTTGGATGAAACCCAGAGTTAATGGGCCCAATCCTCATTGTGTGGATGGCAAGACCGAGGTCCTAAGAGGGCAGGAATTCCTGCCAGCCCACATGGCATCAATTAAAAACAGGCTCCCCATTCCTTGAAATGGATGCAGCCCTGTACCAGTGCTCATCGCAGAGGCTGGGCTGGATTCTGGCCCAGCATCCCCTTGGCTGGGCACTGCTGAGCAGTACCCGACCCATAAAACCATTCACAGGGGCCCTAGCAGAGGCCCAGCCCACCTTATTCCTGATCATCCACTTGATGAAGCGTCTGTCATAGGGCTCGTCCACAGCCCCAGGCAAGTCAGGCATCTTGCTCTCTGTGGGACAGAGGCCATGCTGAACCCTGGGTAGCCTCCAGCTCCCTTAAGCCCTGTCCACCCTGGCCAGTCCCACGCACTGAAGTGTGAGATGTCTGTGATGAGGAAGTAGCTGCCCTGGGGGACTATGGGCTTCAGGCCCATGGACTGTAGGCTTTGGATCATGTGGTCACGGTTGCGCTGTACAGCCTGTGGTAACTGCACGAAGTAGCTGCTGGGCTGGCCGAAAAGCAGCTGCTCCCGCTGAAAGCACCAGGCTACTGCGGCCTGGGGAGGGTGGAGGGGCAAGCAGGTCAGGCATGACCTGACCCTGGAGCCAGCCTGGGCTCCTTTGATGGCCTTCCCCCTCCCCCGCGGCACAGTCCCCTGCCCCTCCTCACCTGGGCCTGCGTGGGACAGTGAAAGATGGAGTTCTCTTGCACGGTGTGCAGGTGCCTCATGAGCCTGTCCGGGCCTAGGACCCAGCCCACCTACACCAGGACACAGGCAGGCTTGAGGCCCTTCAGAGCCTGACCGAGGGCTTCCTTAACTCCCAGGCCGCCTTTCCTGCCGAGGTCATGGTCAGGGAAGGTTATCCCCAACCTCATCAACTCACCTTCCAGCCAGTGACGCTAAAGGTCTTGCCAGCACTGCCAATGGTCAGGGTGCGTTCCCACATGCCAGGGAGGCTGGCTGCCCAAGGCCAAAGAGAGCAGCTGTTGAGATGGGGGTAGGGAGCCGGGGAGGGGTGGTGGCTGGACCCTAGCAGGCACTCAGGCTCTCAACACTCTGAACCCCGCTAAGTGCTAATCTATTTACAAGACTTATTTCAGCTCATCCTCATGACAACCCTGGAGGCAGGTGCCATTGTGCTCTCCTGTCCTCCGTGAGATGAAGTCGCTGTCCCAGGTCACACAACCTGTATGGCTTCAGACCCTTTGGTCCTAATCACTGGGCCTACGCTGATTCCAAGATTGGGCTCAAAATCCTGGCACAAATGTCCCAGGGAACAGGGCACCCTGGTTCCCTGGGCTCACCAATGCTGACGTGTTGGTGCCTATCGTAGACCAGCCACTGGTAGACCTCATCAGCGATGCACACCACGTCATGCTGCTGGCACAGGCTGGCCAGCAGCTCCAGTTCTGCCTTGGAGAACACCTGCAGGGACCGTCCCCAAACAGAGAGGCTGGTTCAGCGAGAGAAAAGGACACAGCTAAACCCAGGGCCAAGGGCTTTTCTGCTCCATCCTATTGAATCCCTGCAATAGTGACCATGTGAGGTCGGTCATGAGATAATGGAAAATATATACATTGGTCTCTGTCCCCGGTTCCCGGTGCGAAGCTCCTGAAACCCTTGTAAATTCCTAAGGGATAAGAGCACTAGAGGCATCTTTTGTTCTCATGAGGTGACTCTGGATGGGCTCCTGGATAGCTCCTAGAGGGGGCTGGTCACCAGAAAGACCTGGCCATGATCAGAAGCTTGGAATTTTCAACCTCACCCCCTTCCTTTCCTACAGAGGGGAGAGGAGCTGAAAAGGGAGTTAATGATTGATCATAACTATGTGAGGGCATCTCCATAAAAGTAAACATCTACCCGGAGGGTGATTCGCCCCAACTCCCTGGGGACAGAAGCTCCTGTACTTGGGATTCTGCCAGACCTCACACTGTTCTCTCTTCATCTAGCTGTTCATCTGAATCCTTTATCATGTTCTTTAAGAAACAAGTCAACGTAAATAAGTGTTTCTCTGAGTTCTGTTTGTCACTCTAACAAATGAACCGAACCTGAGGAAGGGGTTGTGGAGGCTCAGATTTATAGCCGACTAGTGACAATCTGAACTTGTGACTGGCATCTGAAGTGGGGGTGGGGGTAGTCTTGTGGGACTGAGCCCTTAACCTGTGGGATCCGATGCTATCTCCAGGAGGACAGTGTCAGAACTGAATTAAATTGAGTGAAATTGTAGGACACCCAGCTGGTGTCACAGAACTGCTCGGTGAGGGGAAAACCCACACGTATCTGGTGTCGGAAGTGGTGTTTGTGTGGTAGTCACGTGAGGGCATGAGATACACACAGAAGGAGGACTGGGTTTTCCTTCACATTGGTTTTGTCATGTTCGCATGACACTCCAGGAGGTGAAGTCACTGTCCCGTGGGGAAGTCAGTAATGGAGGTGCCCAGCCGGATCCACCACCAGCTCTTCCCTGAGGATTGCTGCGCCTGTCCCTGGGACCTCTGGGAGCCTCGGTCCTCAGAGCTCATAACAGGTAGCCCTCCCACTTCACAGACGAAGAAACTGAGGCCCGAAGGCAGCAAATCAGTAACAGAGGGGGTACTTGAACCCAGTCTGGAGGGGTCCCCGGAAGGAGGTCTATCAGGCACCTTTCCCAGGGGGTTGTTGGGTGTGTTGAGGATTAGGGCTTTGGTTCGAGATGTGAACTTGCTCGACAGCTCCTTGGGGTCCAGCTGCCAGTTGCTGCTGGAATCTAGTTCCCCATCCTGGGTAGGGGTCTGTAAGAGGAGGTGGGAGGCAGTGTCAGTACTTACTACCTGACATTCAATGCTAGTGACTTCGCCCTCCACTCCCCAGGGATCTGTTCCCACCCTCTCCACTCTGGGGCTCTGAACACCCCCCCGCCACCACCGCCTCCTGGAGAAACTGGGCTCCTCCACTTCTTTCCCTCTTTCCCGCCTCCAACGCAGCACATTCCTTGGACCCGTCTGCCTACTGACACCCCAACCAGGATCCTTACCGGCTTCAGGGACACAAACACAGGACGACCCCCCGCCATCAACGTCATGGCCTCATAACAGTCAAAAAAGGGCTCAATGATGATGACCTGGTACAAAGGTCAGATTAGCTGGGGTCAGGACTGCCCTGAACCCTTAGCCCGACCTGGCCCAAGCCCCACCCATTCACCTCGTCTCCTTCATCAACCAGGGCCTGGAAGGCTGTGAACAGGGCTCCGTAGGCACCCACAGTCACCAGCACGTTCTTGAGCGGGTCTATCTCCTGTCCCAGCAGCTTCCCAAAGAAACTTGCCAGGATCTCTGTCAATGGTGGGTAACCCTGCCAGGACAGTGGGGGTCAGCCAGCTGGCTCAGCCTGGGCCCGCTCTCCTGCTCAGCTACACTCAGGCAATTCTAGCAACTTCTAGCAGTAGGCCTGGGGCAAAGTCAGCTCCTGCACAGTCAGTTCTTTCGTCTCCCCACGATGCTTGCTGCCAGGCCTGTTCTGTGCCCAGGACTGGGACGTGGGGGAGGGGACCCAGACAGAGTGTGTGCCTCCAGGAAGCACAGTCCAACACTGGGCTGGGAGACTCACAAATGCCTTGGTGTACTGGTAGAGCATGAAGTCTCCGCTGATGGCGTGCTGAAAGGCTTCCACGACGAAGTCTGGGGGCGGGTAGTTGGGGAAGCCTTGTCCCAAGTTCACGACATCATTCTTACTGGCCAGTTCAATAAACTCCACCCTGGGCAACAAACAGAGTTGTCACTGGCTCACCTCTCTACCCTGACCTGGACTTCTGCCTGCTTCTGGCACAGGGTGAGCAAATGCACTGGGCTTGTTCTAGAAAAACTGGACAACTAGCATCTGCCCTGGTCCAAAGATCTGTGTCAGGGTCATGACTGGCCCCATGCTTTGCAATTATGTGGGCCGGGCGCTGTGTCAATCACATCTCAGCTGGGGGTTTCTAACTTTCCGACTTTTTAACCACAACTCATAGTAAAAAATCATCTTTACATAACAAACCCTGTAGAGCACAAACACAGAATTAACATCATCCTTCCAGTTGATCGGCTATAGCAGTTCCATTCCCGGCCTAGCCTGCCCTGCTAGATTCTTTAGAAATACTCATCGACACCCCGTTTCACAGGCAGAATGGAGAAGCTGAGATTCAGAGGGAGTCATGCAGTCAGGGCATGGCACAGCCATATCTGTCTGAAGCAAAGTTTATGCTCTGGACTATGATCCTGGACAGACCAGAGCCCTGCCAGCTCTGCCATCTGCCATCTCTGGCCCCCTTTCTTCTGGGACTGTCTGGTGGCCACCTCTTCAGGGAAACTGGGAGAGAGGCTACCAGGCTGGGTGAGGAGGCTGGGATGTGGTTCCAGGTTGGTTGGGGGCAGTCAGGCTTGGCCGAATGGAGTTTGGTCATTTTCTCCCCAGAGCTCCAAATGCCCTCGAAGGCACAGAAGTTGCTGAGTCTCAGAGAGGCCAGTGACCTGGCCAGAGTCACACAACAGCTAAGAGCGGAACTGAAGTGCAAAATCAGGTGGGGATGTGCCATGGGGATTGGGACAGAGAGCCAGGCTCAACGTCTTATAGGCACTGGCTGCCCTCTCGGTCCGGCACCACTCTGGGGTTGGCAGGAACCCGGGGCACGCTTTTGCTCTGACTCTTGTGGCCCTCATCCCTCCTGATACTCCCCTCCTGTCCCATGCCTTCTTCCTAGGCCCACTCCTGTTCTGCCCTGCTTCTGCATGAGACTTAACATCTCCTGGCCTCAGCCTCCTCTTCTGTACAAATGGGGTGTTGGGTTCAAGAGTCTGCCAGGTCTGTGAATCAGGAAACAGTCTCGATGCCTCTCCCGGCCTGCCTCCTCGTTATTTCCTGCCACCAGGCTGCCCAGTCTGTTTCACAGGGAGGATGCAGTGGCAGACTGAGGATCAGGACTCTGGAGGCCCAACCTAGAGCGCAGCCAAACTCTCTGGGGCATTTGGGCCTGGCTCCCCGCCCCAAACCTCATGGATCATCGATGGAAAAGACATACATGAGGGGAGTTTGAAAGAAAAGTTGTCCTGTGTTTTGTAAAAACAGCCAACTTTTTTTTTTTTTTTAGAGGTGTCTCTATGCCCCTGGCCAAAGGGGTTGCGGGTGGATTGAGAAAATCATTAAATCTTTCTCACCTATCCTCCCACTGCACTTATACGATCACTAGTAACAAACATACTCCTATATTTGGAATAGTTGATGAAGAAATTAACTTTGACAAATGTGCAGTGAAGAGCTGCCTGTCTCTTACTCTCTTAGATTAGCTTACTCTGTACTAAGCGTGAAATAAAACAGTCCCTGGAAAGCCCTTAGCCTGTGCCAGGTAATGGCTCTCACTGTCACCCAGTACTACCTTGTCTTCCCAAGGCCCTTTAAGGGAAATATAATTATCTTCATTTTGCAGCTGGGGAGCCGAGGCTCAGGGCAGGTGTGTTGCCGGCCCCAGTGCTAGCACTGGGCGAGCAGGGTTGAAGCTGACTGAGATTGGAATCCAAACCTGGGGCTTTTGAGTCTCGCCTCTCATGGACTATGGCTGTAGATCTGATTGTCCCGGGTGCCACTGAATTTCTGCAAACCCAGGGACTACCAGCCCTGTCCTGCACCCCATGCCCGAGGGGACACCCGCACACCTCCCTGGCCCTGCCCAGCTCACCATGGGTTTTGGTTGATCCCGTCCAGCCTTCGAGCCTGCACCCGTTTGGCCATGGTGAGCTGGAGACAGAGCAAGTGGAAGGTCGGAGTGGCGCAGGTGCCACAGCTGGCTGCCCTGGACTGGAGGCAGCTATTTTCTGGAACACAGCCCCACCCCATCACAGCTCCACTCCCAGGGAGGAGGTGGAGATTGGAGGCTGGAGCCCACACCCTCACCTATCCCCGCCAGACTCTGCCTTGGCTAGGTGACACTGGCCAGGTGATTTAGCTCCTCCTGGCCTCAGTCTCCCCATTGGTATAATAAGAGCATAGGCTTCATGGACTCTTCGTGGGTCTGTGAGTCTCAGATGGCTGACAGGTAGCAGAGCCAGGTCTCTAATGTTCTCTGCAGCCACCTGCCATGGCTGAGAGTGAATCTTTACTATTTCTCACAGTCTTGCTCTGTCCTCACAGCACCCCTATCAGAGATGCCATGACAATCTCTCTCTAGACATGAAGACACGAGGCACAGAGACCTGCCTCGGTCAGAGATAATTCAGGGACCTGCCCAAGGTCAGAGGAGGAGCTGGACAGGTACCTGGACAGGATCCTGATCAGACTGGCAGCAACAGCAGGGCCGCTGGAATCAGGTCCCTGCCCTGAAGGTTCTGCAGACTGTATGTATAAAGGCTAGGTTTTTACATAGCCTGGGAGTCCTGCCAACGCGAATAGTTTGAACAGAGCCCAGCGTGGGGCCTGGCACCTAGTGGATACTTTGCCGACCTTGGGAGCCCTGTCCCTTCACTGAATCTCTGACATTTATTGCCAGGCCTGGCACTCGGTACATGTCAAAATAGTTTAAAATGAGGGTGATCTCTGCCAAGGAAAATCATGTTATCAGCAAAATGTTAGTTAGCGGTGATTATCTTTGGTTGGTCAGTTAACGGATAGATTTTTCTTTTCTTCCTTATAATTTTCTTTTCCAAGTTTCCTAAAATAAATGGTTTATTTTTATGGTTAAAAAATGTAGGAGAAAATCACATTTTAAAAGAAGACTATTTATCAATGTGATATACTGGTATCAATAAACCAGGCTACAAAACAGTATGTAAAGTATAATTACATTTTATAAAAAATATACCCTAATATATATTGGTATATACATACATTTTTTTCTATGACCATATATGAATAGAAAAAAAATGGAAGGAAATAAACCAAAATGTTAACAAAGGTTCTCTCTGAATGGTGGGATTATAAGAAATTTAATTTCACATGTGTGCCTTTCTGTTTCCAAGTTGTTTGTACCGGATCAAATCATATTCAATTGATTCTGATAATGTGTATTTTTTTTTTTTTTTTGCATTGCTCTTTCTCTGAATTCCGATGTGTCTTACCATCTATATCATGAGTTTAATTGGCACTTCCCCACTTTACTAGTCCAAAAAACAACAGTGCATCTCAGAATTGATGGCATCATGGGCTCAATGATACGAGAAACTACTTTCGAATTGGGGATTTATCAAAAATAAAGCAAATACTACAGCCATGCCACCCTGGACAAGCCCAATCCTGCCTGATGTCGGAAGCTAAGCAGGGTCGGGCCTGGTTAGTACTTGGATGGGAGACCACCTAGGAAGACCAGGTGCTGTAGGCGTAAAAAATTAAAAAAATAAGGGATTGTAAGCTGACAAGGTCCTTGCAATCTGTGAGGTCAGCCAAGGGTTGCCTCGCCTGAAAAAAGTAAATAAATAAATAAAATAAAGCAAATATGAATCAAGAGCAGTGAGCGGGAGGGAAATAGAAGCTGGAGTAGGGGAAGTTTGAGGTGCGTTGGGGTGAGAGGGAGTAGAAGGGCTCAAGGGAGAATAAAGGAAGTGAATGAGTTTAGGAAGGAGATAAAACAATGGGGGATCCCAGAAACTTGGGGTGCTCAAAGGAGTGACCTTCAAGTATGTCACACAGTACTTGAGTGAGGAAACAGCGTCTGTTCTTGGGCTTATGCACAATGTATTTACTCAGCCAACATTTATTGAGCAAAAACTATTACCAAACAAGGCTGGGCATGGGATGATGGAGAGGCAGCAGCTCCAAGCACACCATTCAGATGCAGAGTTACAAGTTCTAGATTTAGAGGCAAGGGCAAGGGAGGGACCTATATCAGGGTTGCAGGAAGGGAAGGCTTCTCGAAAGAGGAGGCTCATGCGCAAGTTTGAAGCCAGGGCCAAACCCGATCCCTGGGGCACCGGGTCATGCAGGTGGCAGAGTGCACTTACAGTGTGGTGCAAGTAGCGGGTGACTGAAGTTCCAACCTTCTTTCTCTGGAGGGGCCCCACCAGGTGCAAACAGATGGCTACCGTATTCCTGAATATGCCTCCTAGAGCCATGGGACAGTGATGACTTCTCCTCCAGGGGCAGAAGAGAAGGGAGTAGAACATCCTGATCGGAAAATGGCTCCAAGCCCAGGATTTGGCCCCTGCCCCCCACAATTCTAATAACAACAACGATGATAAGGGCTAATATTTACCAAGTGCCTACTGTGTGCCCAGGCATGGCAGTAAGTGCTTTGTTGCAAGATTACCTCTCACTCCTCAAAACCACCCTGTGATCCCCTCCCCCATCCCAGCAACCAGGGTGACCCTTTAAGAATGTAAATCACCTCTAATGAAAAAAAAAGTGATCCAGGTGAAGATCATAAACAGCCCCTAACATCACAGAGTCAACACTACATCATGTTCTGATTCCAGAGAAACACACGCCAACTGCGAATTATTCCTGTGCTATAACCAAATCTAAATCCGATAAAGACTTTGGATCATTAAAATACAAGGGACAGAGGAACATGTTAAATGACACTGCAGAGATGTAATCAACAGATTTAGACTGATGGAACCTCTATAGAACAAATGACCCTGTTTCTTCAACAAATAAAATATAAGGGGGAAAAAAGGTGGAAGGCACTACAGATTAAAAGAGACTTAACAGACATAAATTTAAAAAGTGAATGCCTTGAAAAAGAAGAAAAACATTGGAGGACTCACTGCACAATTTCAAAGCTTCCTAAGAAAGCTACGGGAACCAAGAACATGTAGTACAGGCATCAGGATAGACATAGAAATCAATGGAGTAGAACTGAGACTCCAGCGATAAACTCTCACATTGATGGTCAGTTGATATTTGACAAGGGTGCCAAGAAAATTCAATGAGAAAAGGATAGTCTTTTCAACAAATGGTGCTGGGACAACTGGATATCCACATGCAAAAGTAAAAATTTGGACCCATACCTCGCACCATCAACAAAAATTAACTCAAAATAGACCTAAATGTAAAATGATAAAACTCCTAGGAGAACACAGGATTAAATCTTTGTGACTGTGAGTTAGAAGATGGTTTCTTATACACAACACCAAAAGTACAAGCAACGACAACAAAAAATTTTGCACCTCAAAGGATACCATCAAAAAAGCAAAAAGAGAACCCACGGTATGGGAGAAAATATTTGCTAATCATAAAGATGAGTTTCTCCAAAGACATATAAATGGCTAATAAGCACATGAAAATACGCTCGACATCATTAGTCATTTGAGAGATGCCACATTAAGGTACCACTTTGCATCCACTAGGATAGCTATCACAAAGAAGATGGATAATTATGTGTTTCAAGGAGGTTGAGATCTTGGAACCCTCATACACTGCTTCTAGGAATGCAAAATGGTACAGCTGTGGTAGAAAACAGTCTAGAATTTCTTCAGAATGTTAAACACAGAGTTACGTATGACCCAGCAATTCCACTCCTAGATATCTATCCAAGAGAAACGAAAAAAAATCCACATAAAAACTTGTAGCATTATTCAAAATAGCCAAAAAAATGGAGACAACCTAAATGGCCAATCAATTGGTGGATTTGTGGTTAACAAAGTGTGGCTAATGCACAAGGTGGAATATCATTTGATAATAAGAGAGAATGAAGTACTGACACAGGCCACAAAATGGATGAACCTTGAAAACGTCATGCTAAGTGAAAGAAGCCAGTCACAAAAGACTACAAATTATGATTCCATTTATGAGAAACCGGCAAATCTACAGAGACAGATCAGTGAGCGCTTGCCTTGGGCTGGGAGCAGAGTGAGGGCGGTGGGAATGGGGAGTGACTGCTAATGGGTGTGGGGCAGCTTCTCGGTGTGACAAAAATGTTCTAAAATGAGATTGTGGTGATGGTTGCACAAATGTGAATATACTAAAAACCACCGAACAGTGCACTTTAAATGGCTGAATTATATGGTATGTGTATTGTTATATCTCAACAAAGCTGTTTTTAAAAATTGCCAAGGTTTGGGGGGGGCGGGGAAAGGCAGTGCCCATGTGGTGGCCATGAGAATGTGTCTCTCTGATGCCAGGGATCTAACTGACTGGGGGGACATATGTGCTCAGAATCCATCCCGGGTCCTGGGCACCGAGGCTGCAGCGCCCAGCCAGTGCCTGAAAGACGGGGAGGCAGGCTGTTGCTGGAACTTTCTGAGAACTGCACTGCCGTCTGAGACTTTTCCTTCCAAACTTTCTACCTTCCTCTCTCCTCCAAGGCGTCAGGCCCCAGCCCTGAAAAAGAAGTGGATGTTTAGGGCCAGGGGACTGCTCTAGGGGGCGCTGTGGGTACCTGCCCCAGTCCACGAGCCTCAAGCGCTGCTCCTAGGAGGATGTATAATAATGAATGTATAATAATGAATGATATTCATTCTTTATACCAACAGTTGTAAAATATAATTTATTTTTTAATGGAGAAAGGGGCCCATGAATCATAACACGACCCTGAATGTGGTAAATCCGTGTGTGGTTGTGACTTCACATGCAAATATGAATGTTTGCACTTGAGCACGTGCACACATCTCTGCCTGTGTCTGTGAACATGCAGGCATAGTGGAAGTAGTTTTCAGGAATTTGAAGGGGAGGAAGAAGCCATTGGGGGTCCCAGTCGAGGGCAAGAAGGGCACAGGTGGCCACTGTGGGCTGTCCTCACCCAGTAACACAGCCACTAGGTTCCTGACACCACATGAACAAGCAAGGACTAGTTGCTGTGGGCTTGTTGTTCCTGAAGCAGCCAGCAGGGGAAACGCAGAGCCAGCCCTTGGGGCTCCACACATTTGGGCACAAGACTTTCAAGCCTCAGGAGGGGACCTTGGCCTTACTTCATAGAGGAGGCCCACAGCAGGGAGTGTGCTGGTGCAGGCGCATCTCAAGGTGGGACTCCTAGCCTCCCAGTCCATATTCTCCCACTGACTGGGGCTGACCCAGGAAACTCCAGAGGGACCTCATTCATTGGCACCTGGATGCTGTCATCAGAGACTCATTGAACTCATTCAACTCATTCAGAAGCACCTGGGAGCCCCTCCGGGTAGCCTTTCCCAGGCCACACCCACCTCCACTCCCCAGTGCCTCGTCCCTCATCTTCTAGGAAGCTAGGAAGCGGGTCTTTCCTGGCCAACTCCTCTACAGCCCCGAGGGTAATGGCCGTCACTTTTAATCCTACAGAAAGGTTCCATCAAGAGGCTGAGTCACATATTCAAGGCCACAGCTAGTAAGTAGCAGAGCTAGAATTTGAACTCAGGACTCTGATTTAAAGCCTGTCCTCACTGCCACTGTGGGACAAAGAGAGGCTCTGAGCAGTGATATGACGGCCCCCTGGGCCACTGACTTCCACTTCCAGAAAGAGCCAAAGAAGTATAAACTGATGGGTGCTCAGTGGGAAATGAGAGAATTTGGTCCAGTTGCTCACTCACATTTTATGGATGGGGATACTGATGATCAGGGAGGGGAACTGATTCCACTGGGACCAGGTCACCTGAGTCACAGTCTTAGGATTTTTCTCATGAGAGCAGGCTGGCTCTTCCAGCAGAGATTATGCAACTGAAACCGAGTAAGCCGCTCAATAAACTCTTGATGCATGGGAGAATCAATGTCTGTCTCTCCCACCAGACTGCGAGTGCCTTCAGAACAAGGACTCTCTTCTGTTCATCTTCTTATCGTCAGTATATGGCAGAGCACCTGCCCCATAGTAGGTGCACACCTTTTCATTGCTTCAGCAAATATTTATTGAACTTCTGATATGTGCTATGCACTATGCTAGCCACCAGGTAGACAAGGATGAGTAGGATACCTTCCTGTCCTTCGAGGGGTGTCCAATCTAACGAACTAGACAAACAGGTATCCGGTCCATTTGAATATAGTGAGCCTTACTAGATAAAGAATTCTTACAAGTCAAAAGACCAACGTCTCAATAGGAAAAAAAGTGGGCAAAAGATATAAATTCGCAAAAAAAAGAAAACAGTCAATCGGCTTGAAAAGATGTTGAACCTTATCATAATTAATAAAATACAAACTAAAATGAAACTCTATTTCCTGCCTCTCAGGCAGAGAATGAGATGTTTGAGAAAAACCAAATTGATAATACAATGCACTAAAATGTCGTAATCCACGATTTGGAAAACATTGGGTTAAGCGTTCATCGTATAACTTTTGGAAGGCAATTCAATTATATGTGAGAGAAAAAACTGGGGACAATCTGATCTCCGTCAAGTGGGGGCTGGTTCAACATGTTACGATTTACCTGTATGATGGAATATTGTACAGCTACTAAAAGGAATGAGATCACTCCTACCACGGGGAGATATTCAGGTTACATGAAAAAATGCATGTTGATTTTAAAACTTACTACAAAGCTACAGTAGTCAAAACAGTGTGGCACTGGCATAAGAAAAGACATATAGACCAACGGAATAAAATTGAGAGCCCAGAAATAAACCCAAACATCTCTGGCCAATTGATTTTTGACATGGGTGCCAAGACCATTCAATGGGGGAAAAATAATGTCAACTGGATAGCCACATGCAAAAGAACGAAGTTAGACCTCTACCTCACTCCGTCTATAAAAATTAACTCAAAATGAATCATCACTCTTGATCACATTCTTAAAAATATCCTTTGATGTACAAAAGTTTTAAATTTTTATGAAGTCCAAACACAGAATTACCTTATAATCTAGCAAATCCACTTCTAGGTATATACTGAAGAGAAGTGAAAACATATGTTCCCATAGAAATTTGTACACGAATGGTCATAGCAGCATTATTCATAATAGTCAAAAGGTGGAAACAACCCAAATGTCCTTCAATGGATGAATGGGTGAGTTGTACTATATCCTTACAATGAAATATTACTCACCCTTAAAGAGGAACGACAGACATACTGACTCATGCTACAACTTGGATGAACCTCAAAAACATTAAGTGAAAGAAGCCAGACACAAAATTGTATGATTACTTTCACATGATATATACAGATTAGGTAAATCCATAGAAAGCAGATTAGTAGTTATGAGGGGATCGGAGGGAGGAACCTGGAATGGTTATTTA